AGGTCTGTCTAGATTTCAAAACAGTTACTCTGGAACTAGAAGGCAGTAGACAGAACAGATTATGGACAGTCTACAAAGTAGACCAACAGCGAGAGCAGCAGGCACAGCAGAGGTCCCAGAAGAGCAATAGTGAGAAGTAGAAGGAGGGCCTCAGGGATAGGGATGGGGAGGCATGGATACAGATGTTGCAAGAGGAAGAGAAATGAATAGAATTCACAGCAATTAGGTGGTAAAGCTGCAAGCGAGCAAAGACTCTGGGTGACCTCCAAGTTCCTAGCATGGCCAACTAGGAAGACAACGATGCAGCCGATTCTCATTGAAGGGCAGAAAGAGTTTGGGGAAGACAGAAGAGACACTGTGCTGGGGACCCATGGGGTTCAGAGTGCTTGATAATCCTAACAGTGGAGTTGCCCATTGGACTAGTCAAGTGTCTGCGGGTGGGGCTCAAGTTGTGAATCAGATCAAGAGGAGACACTGTGAGGGATGGAGGGATCCCCAAGGAGCCTAACCTACATTTTAGGTAAAGCACGTGTTATACTGAGAAGCAAGAGCCAGCCAAGGAGACAGGGTTTCCCAGGATTTTTCTTCAAAGCAGTAAGGCATGGAACACAATGCCTAACCTCAAAGGAAAGTCATCCCACTCCCAGTAAATTACATTTTTGGTCATGTTCATGATATTTTTCACATCATAAGAAGGCAGCCCAATGATTGTGAGATGCCACCTGACCTCTTAAGAAAACTGACTTTGATTCCATACATAGGCATTTAAATTGTCTGTAAGTTGCTATGCTCTTCCACAACTGCTCATGACTTCCCCACTGCCTTCCTTCCTCCTCTTACCTCCCCCCGCAGTACCATGGGAGAACATTAAGGCACAGACACTAAATGATTTAGCAAGGATTGCATCATGAGTCAATAGCACAGCAGACTCATTAAGTTGCCTTTCCTACTCTTGAGCTCCTTCAGGACTTAAAAAAAAAAATCAGTGGTAACTCTTTCCTAATTGGCATCTCCTGTTTATTCTGGCCTTAATCCTTCATTCACTACTCCATGACAGTCACTGTGTGGGCCTGAGGATAATAGATGGAAGACATGATCCTTGTTCTCTGGATGGTGGAAGGCTGGACTGACAGCCGGTTAGGAGACACTTTGCTTAGTGCCATGAATGAAATCTTATGGGTACCCCAAATGGCAGAGAGGGATGCCAAACTCTACCCTGAAGTGCAGAAAGGATGCTTAGGAGAAACAAGGTTTGTGCCAAATCCTAATTTTATCTTAGAGTGTACATGCCTTAAGGCAAAGAAATTTGGATTAACAAAAGAGTAAGTGGCTAATATTCACAGAACGAATCATCTTGGAGTTATACGCACATGTATCAGAGCAGAAACAGGAGGGAAGACTACCATCCAACAGAGGGGAGCATCAGGTAACAGCACCAAGCATCCTGGGAAGCTGGGGTCATCACGCCTGGAAATGTGGGGCACTGAAAGGCAAGGAGAAGCTACAGAAACTGACTTGGTCCATGGCAGATGCCAGCCCTCACTACCACTTTGTAATTGGTTTTCGTTTTCTTTTCTTTTTTTTTCATTTTTTTTCTACTTAAAAGCAACTCCATTTCAGTTTGGTTCTTCTCATTGCTTTTCACAAATAAAGGGCTGAGAGGGCTGCAGTTTGCCTTGTGTAGAATTCATTTCAGTGGCAGCGAGTGTAATTCAATCATGGGGGCAGGAGCAGAAATAACTGCATTTTCTCTTCACTGCATCCCCGCGACACCCGCATCTTGTAATAATAACGGAAATGATGCAGGGGATTGGGACGTAGAGCCTCTTATCCCTGATTCCACTTCTCCACATAGAACCATGTACCCCCGGTACATGGACCCATCATGGAAGGTATGTTTATCAGTGTATAGTAATATCATATACATTCCCAAAATGCTTGTCTTTTTTCCTCCATTGTCACTTACTACTCAGACTCCCTAGGACTTGGAGACTATTTACAGTCTGCCTATAAGGCACCAGAGTATCTGGATGATGTCACATCAACAGGCTGAGGTGGGTGCTGACAACCCTGATCTTTCTGATGTCAAGTGCCATGTTCCTCATCTTGTTCTGTTTTGCTTTGCTTTGAAAGAATACTACAACTGGTGTGGTAGTACATACCTGTAGAGTGAACACTTTGGAGGCTCAGATAGGAGGAACAGAGTGAGACCCGAAGGGGGGAAAAGACTCGGCGGGGGGGGGGGAAGGAAAGGAAAGAGAAAACTCAGAGAAAAGAATGGCATCAGTGGAGTTTTATATATCAATTGTTCCTGCCACTTTTCCGGAGGCAAGGAGCTTAAAACTAAAGAGCGCTACCCAGCGAGGATCTTTTAGCCACTTCAGAGCACAGGCGAATCATTACAGAGCAAGACAGAATGGATACACAAGTTCAGGTCTCTCTCTATTAAGTCACTAATCTCAACATAGGTGAGCATCCTCATGACTACATCTAACCCTAACTTCCCTCTGAAAGGCTCCCTCTTCAAACACCACCAATGTATGAAATTGGAGGCTCAGCCCCCAGCTTGGGAACTTTGGGGGACACTCTTGAAGTACAACCATCTCCCATCATGTAGCTGCCTGCTTTCTACTCAACAAAGATCAGAGCAAGTCCTCAGACCGTGTTCATCCTTTGCCTTATCATTCCTTTGCTGAAGACAACACCTACACAACTCACGGAACCTGGGGATATAAAGCTGGTGCCTACTTAGAGCCTTCATCCCTATGTGCCAGTATCTTTGGTACAGAAAGATACTCTGTAGACTACCAAAAGAAAAATGGAAACACCAAGTCAGTCACAAAATCTTTGAACTACAGTGGTGTCCTGCCTGCAAGATTTGCTAGGGCAATGGTAGCACAAAGCTTGTAGGAAAGACCAACCAATACCTGATACGACTTAAGGCCTACACCACAGGATGAAACCTATAACTGACACTGCTTAGGTGACTTAGAATCTGAGACTGGATATCCCTGGAACATAGAATAAAACCAAATACTACTTGTCTTTGTTAGGGTTTTATTGTGTGAAGAGAAACCACGACCACAACAACCTTTATAAAGGAAAACATTTAACGGGGCTAGCTTACAGTTCAGATGTTTAGTCTGTTATTATCATAGAAGAAAACATGGTGGCATTCAGGGAGACAGGATGCTAGAGAAGGGCATGAAAGTTTGACATCTTGATTGGGAGGCAGCAGAAGGAGACTGTGTCACTAGGTCTAGCTTGAGCATATAAGACCTCAAAGTCTGTCTCCATGGTGACACGCCTCCCCCAACAAGGCCACATTTCCTAATAGTGCAACTCCCTATGGGTCAAGCATTCAAACTTGTGAGTCTAGGGGAGTCATTCTATTGAAACCACCATGCTACTGTCCTAAGGGAAAAAAAGGTAGCAATAAAATGACTCCTAGTGACATTCTGCTACATCAGTGCCTTGCTCAGCCATCATGAGAGGAGCTCCCTTCTGCAACAGATGGGAACAACCACAGAGACCCACAGTCAGAAATTCAGAGAATGAGAGACCTTTTAACACTCAGTTCTACATGGGATACCTCCATCAAATCCCTCCCCTCAGGGTTCAGGGAAGAAGAAGCAGAAAGAGTGTAAGAGTCAGAGGGGAATGGAGGACACCAACAAAACTGGGTCCTCAAAGTCAACATGACCAATGCTCCTATGACCTCACAGAGACTATTGCAGCATGCTCAGTGTCTGCACAGGTGTGCAGCAGTTCCTTTGCATGTATATTATTGCATCCAGTTTCGTGTTTTTGTAGGATTCTAGAGTGTGGGAATGAGTAGGTCTCTGTTTCTTGGGCCTTCTTTTGGGTTCTTTTCCTTTCATTCATTCGTTTTGTCCAATTCTAAGGTATTAGGTTTGGGTTTTTTTTTTAAAAAAAATATTTTATTTTCTTATTTTTCCTTAGAAGTGCACATGGTTGCAAGGATAGGAAGATGTCAGCCTTTTAATTTTGTATCTCTTTCTTAAATTATAGAGAGTCCAAAAAAGAAAAAAAAAGAGGCCAAACATAGCCAAAAGACTTAAGTAGAGTATGGAAGGATGATTTTCTACAACACTATATACTTGGATTTTCTCAGTTCTGAATTCTAGTTGTTGTTTCCTGAAGGAAAAGACACACCCCTTCAGGAGACTGCTGTAGACGGGTGTCCAGTAGTATCAGTTCCTTGCCGGTCTAACTTTTTCTTTCCTGTCCCAGGAGTGTGTTCACTCTGTCTTGGGAACAATAACTGTTTAAAGTGATGTGTCACAGGAGCCACAGGGGCAGAGAGTGCACAATCTGCATGCCACCTTTGTGAAATGACTGCTCCCTGAAGGACTTTGGGGGCCCTGGCTGCACTGGGCACGATTTATGCATTTGACCTACTCACACCTTACAAATACCTCAGAAAAGCCCCATCAATCTGACTTCACAGCTAAAGCAAGACAAAAAGAGAGGTGAGAAAGTTGACCAAGGACACGTAGTAGCTGAATTGCTTCTCTAGCTCAGTTTTAGTTCTTTTTTTTTTTTCCATTTTAAACAGGAAGTTTATTTAAACAACAAGACGCTTGACTTGAAGGGAAAACTATCTAGAATCATTTTGTTCAAGAGTAATTTATCCCTACTTAAAGACAGATTGCCCTACAAGTAACAGCTACGTACAAAAAAGTTATAAAATTGTCCTTGGTTTTACAATGATAAATGAAAAACATTAAAATTCTTCAATCAAACAAGGTGTGCAAGGATTTTGTGGTTGAGTTCTTTTGTTAAAACATAGAGAGCAAAATAACTTCCTGGAATATAAAGATAAGAGCTGAATGAGCAGGTCACTAATGGAAGAGGGGTATTTTCACAGCACCAGTGCTTTCCCCCCGACCACCTCCATCTGCTGTCAATCAAAAAGGACATTGGCCATTTAGTTTTAAAAAGAAAAAAAAAAGCCCAATATGCTTGTGCACATACACCAGTTACTTTATGTACAATAAAGAAGTGGGGACAGGGAAATGAAAGAATAGAGAAAACTATACTGTAGTAGTCAGGGTGTGGTGGAATCAAATTGTGGCTTTCTAATTGCGAATGTATTCTTGGTCTATAACAAAATTCTGGAGTAAAGTAGCAGGTTCCCTTTTTAGTAGACACCTCCTATCTGCTGCTGGAACACATCAATCATATCTTCATCCTCCATTTCCAACTGTGCAGGTGTGTCTGTTTCGTTGATTGGCTGCCCATCAAACCGGAATCTGATCTGCCTCATTGACAAACCCTGTCGTTCACAATAGGCTTTCATTAGTTTACTAAGTGGTATATGCCTCTTAATTTTAAACTGCACCACAGAGTCATCCTGCCCCGCCACCTTCAAATTAATATGGTCGTTGTTCTTGGTCTTGACTCCTTCCTTGGGTTTCTCGTCGGCCATGGTGAACGCCGGAGTCTCCTCAGCTGCCGCTTCACAAAAGAGGCACCAGGTCAGCACTGAAGGAGCACACAGACAGCACCAGGAGCCTCAGTTAGAGTTCTTCTCCCCATGCTGTGCCCTCACCCTCCAAATTATGGCTATGCATTTTCTGTCAATCATTAACATCTCTAAATTTCAACTATGTGTGTACAGATGGAGAAAACTGTACACAGCAACATTTGAGGCAAGGTGAGGAACAGAGGAGAAATTGGAAAAGAAAGCTACCTTGCTAGAGCATGCTCCATAGACATGGCTGAAAAGAGGTATGGATGATACCACCCAGGAAGATGGATGCATGAAAGATACCATCACCCGGGTTTGGAAGGGGTGGAGGATGGAATGGTTGGGAATGTGTAAAGGAGGAAAGAGGTGGTCAAAGCTGTGATGTGGGATGTGATTGCCTCCCCCATGGTCCCTCTGATTCTTGAGATTGAATTCATGATGCTCTGTGTAAGATTCTTGTAGAAAGTGCCAGGGTTTTCCTGAGATTTGGATGACTGGACCCAGACATCAGAGGTGAATGGAGCCAGTGAGATGAAATCATTTTCCTTTCCTATAGAAAAAGGGATGAGGGGACTGGGACGTTTGAACAATAGTGGATATGGGGTCATCCAAAGGGCATTGAGGGCACTATTCCTACCTTTAAAAACTGCACACACATAGAAAAAATGTGGAGGTGGATATTCCTCACCAACCTTATAAGATGTTCTAAAGAGAGAATGTACAAGATAGATGAGGAATAAAGGGTAATAAAATCACATCCCATCTGGGAGTGGGGAGTCATGGTTTGACTGCATTTTCCAGCATTCAATACAGGATCACGAATCCTCACAAACCTCATTGGCTATCTGTCATTTCTACTCTGTATTGACTTGTAATATCAACTAGCCATTTTCTATAGGTTCAGTTTTTTAGACTATTCTGTTAGAACTCATTATACACTATGATTTTTAGTTTTATCTTTTTATACTTTTGAATTCTTCTCCATTACTACTTTTTCAACTTTAGTTGTAGTTTCTTGAGCTACAGTTTAGAATTTTGAGTTATATGTGATGAAATTACTAGATCTCTAATGGTTGTTTGGGGGGCTTGGGCATTGTGGGGAAAATAGTATTCAGCACTGTGGGAACCTACGTAGCGGTATGCTGTGGGAGATCCTTTTGGGAGAGCAATTAAATGGTATTTCTTTTTGGATTAAAGATTAACTCTACAAACATGTTGTTCTCTCTTCATTTGGAGGTTCGAGTGGAAGAAAACTGTATGCCTTGTATGAATCTGTATTTGTTTCTGCGATTCCTGGAGACAAAGGAATAATGAGCAGCAATTCTCTTTCTGAAGTCACCAGGACATCTGCGACAAAGATGATTAGTGGAAAAACAAAAGCAGAAACTGGTGGATTTCTTGTCAAGCCACATTGTTCCACTTTAGAATTGATACTGCTAACAGGAAGGCTCCCTGAATCTCTGTTGTTTTAGATCTATTCCTGTGCATCAGCTTTACATTGCCAAAGTGATGGGTTTTCATTGCTTTTCCAGCAGTGTAGTCTGTCTCAGAAGACAAATAGTGGCAGAGGATACACTGTTGCAGAGGGTTCAGAAGAGACATTGTTGTAGAGAACACACTATTGTAGAGGGTACACTGTTACAGAGTGTTCAGAGGATACAATGTTGCAGGGGGCTCAGAGGATACAGTATCACAGAGGATACATTGTTGCAGTCGGTTCCGAGGATACAATGTTGCAGGGGTTCGGAGGATACAATGTTGCAGAGGATACATTGTTGCGGTCGGTTCCGAGGATACAATGTTGCAGGGGGTTCAGAGGATACAGTGTTGCAGAGGATACATTGTTGCAGTCGGTTCCGAGGATACAATGTTGCAGAGGGTTCAGAGGATACAGTGTTGCAGAGGCTATACTATTACAGAGGTTCAACTCACTGGATGAAACTACAGCAAAGGCTTCAGGTGGCGATTCTGTGGTTTATGTTCCAAGTGGCTGCAGCTAACACCATCTGCAGCTTTTGTCATTCACAAAATGACATATTATCTACCCTATTATCTTAACCTAGTCCATGAAGGCCACCACTCTTAAACTGCTTCATTTGGTTTCTTCCAGCAACACTGACTTTCAGTTCTTTCTCCAGTTTCACTTTGCATTATGTGAGTTAATTTTAGTGCCTAATCATAGAAGCTCATTGCTAACACCCATAAGAAATAATTATAGCAAAAACGAAACTCTTCAGATCTGGATGCCAAGATAAATGTTGTCATCTGGTGTTCTGTCTCTACCTAAATACATTTGTTTCTTTCCCATCTGTTTGGAAACTTATTTAAGCAAATTAACATTTCTCTCAGGGTTAATCTGGCTTGCATATCAAATGGCAAATATTTTTATTTGAAGAAACTTTGTCTTCTTTGTCACTTGCACCTCTATGCCAAAACCATTGTTCTTCCCAGCATACAGATAAAGTACCGTCTATTTATTTGCAGGTACTTTTACAATAAAGTTTATTTTAAAAATAAAAGAAGTCACTCAGAAAACAGAGTTAACTTGCTTAAAGTCTTACAGTTAGCTCCTCTGTGGTGTGGCTAGAGTTAGTTACATTCCCCAGAGGCAAGGCAGGTACGCTGTTTGTCCAGTTGCCCACTCCTGCTCTTTCCAAAGCACCCCACTTCCCCCTTCCATTCACCCATAAAGGTCAACATGATACTGCCACTTGACTCTAACCCCACGATCAGGGCCCTTGGTGTTCTATACTAGGTAATATATCTCCGAGTAATTTGAGAGCCCTCATACTCCCTTGGCAAGGGAGATAATCAGCCATCCACAAGCACAGCTTATTTGCTTCTAAAAAGTCTGCTGTACATGTCATCTTTTTGATCAGGAAGACACAGAGAACTCCTCAACGACATCCAGTTATCAAGCAAGATGGTATAGGAAATAGCTTCCCCCCTCACCTCTTAAAAGGTAGATTCCTAGCACTTAGAGACTTAAGAAACATATATAGATCCACCTAGGATGGGGAAATAGGCAAGATCTCCTGAGAAAACTGGAAGCATGGGAGTGGGGTAAGAAGGGAAAGCAGAAGGGGAGGAGGAGGGGGAAAAGGGAACTGAACTGGCCTTGCCCTATAGTCAGATTGATGACGATCATAGATGTCACCATAGAACCTTCATTCAGCAACTGATGGAAGCAGCGGCAGAGACCCACAGCAGAGCACTGGTCTGAGCCTCCGAAGTCCAGCTGAAGAGTGGGAGGAGTGAAAATATTAGTAAAGAAGTCAGGACCATGATGGGGCAACCCACTGAAACAGTCTACATGAGCTAATGGGAGCTCACCAACTCCACCCAGACAGTGAGGGAACCAGCACAGGATCAAACTAGGCCCTCTGAATGTGGATGACAGTTGTATGGCTGGGACCAGTTGTGGGGTCTTTCTTCTTTCTAAAGCCAAATTTCCTCCTCCTGCTGCTTACTCTCCCTGCCTAGAAGTTCTACTTATACCTCCTCCTTTGCTATTGGCTGTTCTTCTTTTTAAGACCAATCAGGAGCCTTAGGAAGACAAGGTAAAAGAGCAACATATTTTTGCATAATTAAACAAATGCAGCATATCCTTGTATAGTTAAATATTCTGCAACAAAAACTGCTACTAGCAGTTCTTCCTGTCAGTGTGAAGTAAGAATGAAGAAAAGGCCATGGGTGTGGTATAATTGTCCTCTCCCAATGAAGGGAAATAGGTGGGGACTTTGTGGGATAGGCAGCCAGAACTACAGTATTGGGAGACAAGGAAGGAGGCAGTGGCAGGCTGGTGAGAGCCTGGGGTTTCTATAGACTGAATGATTTGTTAATCCTTGCACTCGTGCAAGATTTAAAAGGAGAGTAAGAACAAGGCATAGAAGAAGTGTTTCTGCCTCCTCTCACCCCTGTCCCTAAGTATGCTTGAGCCTTAATTGTTCTCTCCATGTCTACTGCACTAGCTTCTGTCATATCACTGTGGGCATGATATAAGATGGACCAAGTTAAAGGAGAAAAAAATTCATTTGGGCCATTCAGAAGACCTCAGTGAATCATGGTATGGAAAACATGGTAGTGTTCTACATGGGGTGGGAGCACGCAACAGGGGCTTACTCATGTAGCAGTAGAGCAGGGAGCAGAGAGAGTCCAAACCCCAAATTCATGTTAATAACTTGACTTATCCTAGTGACCTAATTCCACCTACTTGGACAGGCTTCTTAAATCTTCTATAGTCTTGCAAAATATTTCCACCCATCAGAGAAGAAGTATTCAGAACATAAGCCTAAAAGAAATAGTCCAGATTCAAACCATAATATTTCACTCCTGGCCCCCAAAGGCCCTTGGTCATTTCATAACACAAAATACACTCAGTATAATGTCAAGATCTTCATAGGCTTATGGTCCCAACAATATTCAAAAGTCACTGTACTTAGATTCAAAGCAATCTCCTAACTGTAAGTTGCTATTTAATAAAAGGGAAAGCCACAACACTGACTGAACATCCCCAATCCAAAAGGGAGGGAGAGAAGGATGGGAAGGAAACACTGAACCAAGGCAAGACCAAAACTCACCAAAGTAAATTTTAACTATACGTCAACATTTGGCATCTGCTGACTGTGATGTCATGATATAAACTCCAAAGGGCTTGGAATGCCCTGGCTTTATGGCCTCAGAAGCACATTCTGTCTTTCTCTTGAGCTGACTTAGTTTCATGCCTACAGGTTTCGTCAGTAGACACCTCATGTTTCTAGACTCTCCTACATCTTAGGGTCCTCATCGAGAAATAAGCTTCACTCTCGTAGCTTCATTCATACCCCACTCACAGACCCTTTATAAAGAACCAGGCACTGCTACACATCCTGGGCTTTTGTCTGAAGCTTTGGTTCAGCCTCCATGTAACTCCCCAATTTTGTAAGACAGCAAAACCAATACCATGGATGATGCTGATTTCTGTTGCCTACTTAGGGTACAGCCAGCCCCCCCTAGACTGAGCCTTTAGCAGCCTCTGAGT